GGTCTCTCCCTGGGGAGAGCTGCACAGGGCCAACTCTGTGACCCTCCTCTGAAAGTGCTCCCAGGGATAACACAGGGCATCAGCGCTGGGGCTGGACAAACCACTGCAACTCTCTCTACTCTCTAACACAGCTCCGTGTGGGGGATGCCATCTCCCACAATCCCAATGGGCTCAAAACAATATTAACTAAACACACCCAAACTGAGAGCCAGGAAGACACAACCTGAATCCACACAGACATCAAGACCCTCCCTCAGACACTCACCAACTATAGGCTGTGTTTCCAAAGGGCAGGCTAATCTCTTGGCACTACAAGCTTTGGACGTAATAGTCATTAACCAAGGCTGCCAAGGGGGAAATGGTCATAGAATGTTCAAATGAAAAAGATCTGAATGCATTTTTTTTTCCCTGAGGCAGGGTCCAGTGTAGCATAAGTAAGCTCGAGCTGGCTGAGCCAAGAATGAACCGGAAATCACAATCTGCCAATTTCCCCCTCACGAGTGGCTTGAATTCCATGACTGACCCGTGTGCCTCCACCACTCCTGTTCAGGCCGTGCTAGGGTTAGAACCCCAGGTCTCTGATGTGCTGAGCTACATCTACAGCAGTCAAATAAAAAAATATATTGCATTAGGAGCCATTGAGACGGCTCAGCAGGTAGAGACCCTTACCATTAAGTCTGACAAACTGAATTCGATTCCTGAAACCCAGAAAGTAGAAGGAGAGAACTAATTCTTACAAGTTGTTCTCTGACATATACACTCTATCTCTCCCTCCCCATTTTTAAATTTAAAAAATAAATAAAAATTATATTAAAATAGTCCCTTCACATTGCGGAAATATTAATTCAAGAGTGTTGAGAAGGTTGCTTACGGGACTTCAGGGTTCAGAAAAGTAGGGGGAACCTCAGTTCTGAGCGACACGCCTCCCAGGGGTGAGCATAGAGGAACAGCCTCGAAACGTGCTGTTTCCATGTGAATCTACTGCTGCATCAAATACAAAACGGATATCTTTACAAAAACCAAACTAAGACTGGCCGGCTTCAGTGATAAGACAAACTGTAAAGGGCTTGTGGTCATTCACTGTTTGAGAGTAGGAGGCTCTTCTCCAGCGCTCACACATGGATTTAGCATCAGACTTGTTAGCTACTTCCTCTTAAAGACCAGGTCAGATACATATCAAAACTGCTGAGCAGACCAGGGATGTGGCTCAGAAGTAGAGCTCTTGCCTCTGGCCCTGAGTTCAATCCCCAGATCTACAGAAAAAAAAGGAAGACGGGAAAGGGGGAAGGGAGAAGGCGAGGGAGAAACTGAGTGAACGTAATGACGGTATGCCTGCACAATGACATATCACACCACAATTAATGGGAATGAGTTATTGCTAAACTGGATGAGCCTCAAAAATACCCTAATTAAAAGAACTTATTCATCCACAAATGACCATATATTGTATGACATGTATGTATATACATATATGAATACATGAGAATATATGTGAATATATGAGCATATATGAATATATAGATATAGATGTAGATATGAAATGTTCAGGACAGAAGTAGTCTACGGCGACAGAAAATAGGAAAATGGGTACTACCTGGACAGAGCGGTGGGGAGGAGGAGAGAAAGAAGGTCAGATGGTTTTGAGAATTTCCTAAAACTCATTTGGGTGATGGCTTTGCGACAGTGAACTCGCTGGAAACTCCCAGGCGGTTCTCGTTACACACGGGCTACAGCTCGGTGAAGCTGCCTTATTTTGTTCTGTTTCCATTTATCCAGTCCTCAAGTCACAGTTTTTCATCGTTTTCCATAGAAACCTCCGTTCAGCCCTCTGAGTTTGTTGCAATGCGTCAGAGAACACGCTCTGGAGTGTTTCGTGGCTGAAGGCACTCATCTGTAATCTGCCTGAAAATCACCAGTGTGTTAAGGGGAGGGACCGTTCAGATACTCAGATGTTGCTAGCTCCTGGGGCTGGGGCTGGGTCAACCCACAGGAACATTACAGTCTCGTTTAAAAGTCTTAAAACTTTAATTTTTTTCATAGTGAAATGTTAAAAGTAGAAAGGGGGGGTCCTAGGACTTACTGGTCACTTCTTATGAACTCCATGTGTCTCTAAAAATACAAACACTGAACTATTTACACATAAAATTACAATGATGTAATACTGAGATTTTCAAATAATAAGGAAATTTTAATCTGCTAAATGGACTGAGAGTTAACAGAGCCTAATTCCTGATTGGCAGTTCCTCATGCTGGCATCTGTCAGGACATGCAGGAGCAGTGGCAAAGCCTGGGGCGGGGACAGATGAGACCACTGTTCTTGTGGCTGTGGGGTGGCTGTGGTTTTGTTATACAATGTCTGCCTAAGTCTAACTTTTCTCCTAACACAGGATCTTTTTTTTTTAAAGAGCTCTCTAACCTCCATGAGTTTAAAACATGATACAAGTGTGGTATTTTTCTTCCTGAAACACCAAGAGATTCATGGAATCTAACAACATCTGCTTAAACCCTATTTACTTATTCTGAAGATACAGATGATGGTCATTGTTTCTGCTGCCACTTTGCGAATTCTGAAGTCGACCTTAGGAACAGGTCACACGCACACAAAGAAAGAATAAGTGACAATTACAGGTCTGGATACTGACCTAAGGGCACAGGGTAGACTATGACATACAAGAGAACCTCTCAGGTTCAAATCCTAGACTCCTTCTTGGGTCTGATTTGCTTGTGACTGAGAACAAGCCCGGCCAGTGAACTCAAAGGTTCCCCCTGTGAGTTCTGTCTTGTGAGCTTTGTTTTCCATTGCATGAAATCCCACTGTGGCTCCATTGGCATCCAAGTGCATCTACTCACTCCTGAAATAATTCACAACTGCAACATGATTTCAGATTTTCATTTTAGGAAAAAAAAAACCATGGGGTGTGTGTGTGTGTGTGTGTGTGTGGGTGTGTGTGTGTGTGTGCGTGTGTGCAGGTTATTTGTGTGGTGTACGTACTTGTAAGTGTGTTTGCATGTGTGTGGTGGCAGAGAATGATACTAGGTACACTCTCCACTGCATTTCATTTGTGGAGGCTGGGTGTCTCATCAGTGTGGCTAGGCTGACTAACTAATGACTGTCAGGGATCTGCCTGTATCCACCTTCTCCCAACCCCACCCCCAGGCACTGGGGTTACAGACGTCCCTCTCCACACACCCAGCTTTTAGGTGGGTCCCCAGGATTCAAACTCGAGTCCCCCATGTTTATACAGCTTTACTGACTGAACCATCTCCCTAGAACCCCCCACAAATCTTTTTTAATAATCTAGCTGTCTTGAAAGAACAATGGATTATGATTTTTCAAAGAGTAAATCCAAAAATTACGTACAAGATTCTGGTTCATTGAACTTAAAGGAAAGAAATGCAGACATCCTTTGGATGACTAGCCTGGCAAGGGGAATTATTATTTCTGTTCCTATTCTATTTAGGCTATCTATATTTCAAGGTTTTCCAGAGCACTCACAGACAGTAGCAGAGTCCAGGGACAGGACTACAGGGTGGAATTCTGTCAATCTAATACATAAGTTGTGAACTTCACTCACGACAGCCCAAAAGGACTGGGGTCCCAACAGAACCATTTAGCAAAGGTGTTTAAAAGAAGAGTAGATTGCCAGGCGGTGTTTGTGCACACCTTCAATTCCACTGCTTCAGAGGCTGAGGCAGGTGGATCTCTGTGAGTTCAAGGGCAGCCTGGTCTACTGAGTGAGTTAGTTCCAAGACAGTCAGGATACAGAGAGAAAAACCCTGTCTCCAAAAAAAAAAAGTAAATTGGCACTGGGTGGGTGATACAAAGCTCCAAGTTAAGCCAGAGAAACAGAGAAACCTTATGTTCATTGTGTTCTTATTCAGACATTTACTCTAGGTTCAATAAGTTCTCCCACATTTTTTTAAAGCTGACTTTGGTCTTGACTCGACCAGCAGAGCACAAAATGTGCACTCACTGCAGATGATAGAAAAAGCTATAGACATTGCCAGGCTCTCCGAGGGCACTAGTTCATGGGAAGGTCATTTGCTTTACTCAGCCTCCACAAGCATTGCACAAAGACCTGTTCCCAAGTCTCTCGGCCCCTGGCAAACCTCAGGGGGGCTGGATGCCTCGAAAGTTGTGACACACTTAGGCAGGATGAGTAGTCATCCTGTCCACAGATGCTTGCTCACTGGCAGACACTTTTCTCAGAGGCCAGGCTTCCTTCCCTGTGCCCATTGGTCAGGGAGGCAGGACCAGGTGTCAGGGCAGGTCAGACATCCCCAGATAGCTGCCCACACTTCTGGAGTTCGGGTGAGCGCATCCATAATGACAGGTTCTGTCTCTTGAGCACCCACTTCTGCTGAGCAGCCTTGGTGGCTCCAGGAACCCACCCAGGGTCTGAGCCCTCTTCTAATGACCAGGTACAAAGCCACCAATCACACACAACCTCTTATTACCTCTGAGCTCCTGGGGGTGCAGTCACCCAACACCAGATACGCTCTCTCATTTATCTGTGTCTTAATGAAGAATAAAAACAATCAGTCGCCTCCCCTTCTTCAGTCTGTCACTTTGCCCACTCCGGAAGTACTCCACCACGTAGGGGTTTGTTGGTGTATCGGTGAGGAAAACACATCAAAACCCCTGCCCTGCGGGAGTATACTTTGCCAATGTAGTACAAATATTCAGTGGCCAACAAGTTTCATTTTTCTCCCATCCTCACGCCAGTCTCACAAAGAGCTCGATAATGTGCTTAATGTTAACTTTACTGGAAACAAAATCCTTAGCTTGCAAGGAACAGACGCTGCCCAGGTGCAATCCAATTCTCCCTTGAACTTGACTGCCTCCCAACACACTTTTCCACCACTCACGGTCGCCAGACCCTTCAGGTGGCTTGAGGATCTGCGCTCCCCAACTGAGGTCAAACAAAAACAGCGGAAGGAACCCTCCACAACCCACTGCCCCGAGGGTGGACCCCCTCAGAAAGGCGCGCTGTACTCACCGAGGAGCCGGCCCAGAACGGGCACGAGTTCTTCACCTGCGGCGAACTGCTCAGCGACAGCGCCCCGAAGCTGAGCGCCACCATGCAGCAGCCCAGGATCAGCTGCAGCAGCCCGAGCGACAGGAGCGGGCGCGCGGGTAGCAGCGCGGAGCCTGGCGCGGCGGGACGGCGGGACGC